GTGCAAATAGCCACATTGGGAATCCATCCCAGGTGCAAATAGCCACATTGGGAATCCATCCCAGGTGCAAATAGCCACATTGGGAATCCATCCCAGGTGCAAATAGCCACATTGGGAATCCACCCCAGGTGCAAATAGCCACATTGGGAATCCATCCCAGGTGCAAATAGCCACATTGGGAATCCACCCCAGGTGCAAATAGCCACATTGGGAATCCATCCCAGGTGCAAATAGCCACATTGGGAATCCACCCCAGGTGCAAATAGCATCGTTGGCTACTGACACCTGGGTGACAATAGCATCTGTCTCATATTTTTCATTTTTATTCATTTTATCTTGTTCAATATGAAATAGAACAGAAAAACAACACAGCTAAGCCTCCCAAACGGGAGCCTTATTCCCACATTACCACGTCTGAAACTGCCGCTGCTGAATTGCTGATTGGTGTTCGGGCCGCTCTTCAGCTGTAGCTGGGAAACATCTTCAGAGTCACCCTCTGTAAATCCCGTCCGCGTGCTCATCTCCACGTGTGTGAGACTCCTATCGGGGACAATGTCGCTCCGGAAATCCAATTCTGTGCATTCGATTGGGGCATGCCAGTAACCCCCCTGCTGATCAGATGCACAGTACTTGTTATCGGTCTTCAACAGTGAGGGACATTCTCCTGTAAAACAGTCTCTGCCGTCGGAGGAGTCACAGGACCCGTGACTGACAGACTGTGCTGAGCACTGGCTGCAGCTGGAGTTTCTCATCAGAGGCTGAAAGTCCAGTGAACGGCTGCGGCTTGAGGTTTCACTGTTTTCCAGAACACCTCTGGTGTGCAGAATGGACTTTAGGGCAACAGGAATATCCACAGTAGCAGAATCCTCCGAAACTGGTAGGAAGCCTATAAATAAATGTAAAATAATATTAAAATATTAAAGGGAGAATAAAACCAAAAGTATTTTATTCATTATTACAAATATTCTTGTATCATTAAAGGTGATGATACACAGGGCAACTCATCTGGATCTGGATTAAGTTGCATCTGGATGAAGTTGCCCACTGCTGATCAAAGTTTTTCAAATAGAAATCTGATGCCCAATATTAATGGAAAGTGCCTGAGCAGCACTGGTCAGCAACATTGCCCGGAAACAATGATCAAAAAGTTGCCCTTTGTATCGTCACCCTTAGCGACTGTATTGCTGGAATTAAGTGTGGTCTTTGTATTCCAGAAGACATTGGAAGACTAACAGAGTTTACAGCGGATTCAATTTTAAACAACATTACTATATTATGGAATTTAAATATGAATAAATAGGGCTGGGTGATATAGACTAAAAAGCACATCTGTATTTTTAGACAAAATAGTGACTCACGATATATATCAATATTTTCTATGAAGTGGGCTAAATGTACAGTTGTAAGTCAAAGCCACATGTGAGACGTCACAAACAGTTTTTTTTTTAAAGAAAGGTTAAAATTAAATGCAAATACGGGTTTCTTTGTCTGTTGGCAAAACTACCCAGTACAGAAATGTATTTATTCCAAAAAGAAGTTTCAAAAAGACAATAAGTTATGCCTACATTAGTATATAGTATAGCAACTATTACATAGAAGTGTCACATTCCATTATGATCACCATAGACTCCATTTCCTTCTCAGTTTATGACATTGCTGTCAAAACATTTTGTTTCATGAACAAAAAAAAACTAAATCTAAAACCTTTTCACAAATGGCTTTACAAACAGAAGCCTGACAGCTATTCAAAGTGCACCTAAAAACTGAAAAGATCCTTATTTGAATTTATTAGCCTTCAGTAAAATAACAAATTGCAATATCCTCTGAGCTTTCAGTCAATGTTATATCATTTTGTAAGTAACAATATTTCTTCATACTGTATATTCCCTCCAGAAGCTTCCCCAAGAGATGCTATCTCAATGTTTTGATTTCAACTGTTAATTCTGGGATTCTGTGCAACATCAGGACTGAAGCTTTACAAGCAGGAATTAATACAATACGTCTCCATTAAAAATGGTTGCTCATCTCTTCTCCCATTTGGGTATCAAAATACCACATGGCTCAATGCAGTCAAGATAGTAATAACAAGCTGTGATTTAAAAAATTATTGTTAACGCATTAATTTTGACTGTTTTAATTTTAATGCACAATGAAAGTGGATTTACATCGATGTAACTGGTATTGTATCATTCTATACTTCGGTTGAAAATATCCTGTAAATATGCCCTATGAACATTTTTCAGATTTAGGAGGAATTCCCATTATGAGTGTACTAAGAAATTGTCACGTAACCCACCTGATAACTGCACATCTTTCTCCACGTTCAGGACCAAAGCTTCCCCATTGCTGATAATTGCTGAATCCTCACTGTGATGTTGTGGTTCTCTGCATACTTTATGAGAGAGCAACGATCGTTCTGTAATGCATTCCTTTGTCTACCAGTCCCAGCCATGTACGAAATATAGGAAAGATGGTAATAATAAAGCCATACCTTTAAACATCTTCTTAAGTAAGGCGTGCCAGATGCATACCAACAAAAGTAATGACAAAACTATTGCCATGGTAACTACCGTCCCACACATGGCAATGGCCGCCACATCACGCTGAGGTGAGGTCTCCGCATTGCCATTTATGTCTGTATCAACTACTTTGTTTCCTGTAAAACAATACAATTGGTATTTATACTTCCGATCATTTAAAATATGTATTTTTGAGCAACTACTGGCTTAACCACCTAGCAGGTCTGTCACTGCATCATTTAATGATCGTAACACACAAAGAGATCATTCAGAATTTGCCAAATGAAGTTAACAAACAGTGATCGGGAAACTTACGAGTACACCGACTTTCAGTGCCAGATGTGGCGCCACAAGGCATGCATTCCAAGTCCTGCAGTCCATCTATTCGTGTCTTACTATAAAATCTAGATTAAAGTACAAAGAAAACAAGCACATGTCTGCACAGTAATCTATAGATCTAAAGTATAAAATCATTATAAAAAGCATCCAAAACACATTTAAAGCGTTTATCATGTATACAAACACAATGTATCATAACATATTTGAGACAATTATTTACGCACCCTGGTAAACAGTTTCCACAAACTGTGTTTCTTCTGGCAGTACAAGGGAGAATCTGCTGTCTGTTGAGTTGCTTGCATGACAAACAGATTTTGCAGTTGTGATGACCCCAGTCCTCTTTGTAAGACCGGACACCACAGTGGATGCAGTGGGCATTTCCCCCACTCCCATAACCACACTCCTGACAAATAAAAGCAGTATAAATTTCCTTCATATATCATTAACAAAAGATTTTAAACAAAATATTTCACCTTGCAAAACAGAACAACAAAAACAGTAGGGGACCCCGGGTATGGCTGTAACATGGGGAGAGTTGTAACACCACCAATTCCACCAATCAGGAATAGGATGAGAGTCATGTGATCATTTAAGTGTTTACATACTGCCTCCTTAAACCCACATGATGAATATCAAGGCTGGAAATAGGTACATGCAGATTTTATAAACAAAAAACAGAATTTGAGGTAAGAAAGTAATTTTTTTGACCAAGACTATATTTTGTTTAGTATTTATACTATTGCAGATAAAATCATATGACTTAAATAAGATTAAATTGTAGTTTCTCAGGTGAACTGTGATGTATTTTTCCCCTGCTAATTTCAAACCACTATCCTACTACAGCTAGTTGAACAATAGCTAAGAGGGGTGGGCTGAGTTGTAATACATCTTTAAAAAGTGTTACAACCATCCCCTTACATACAACTGAGGACACTTTCTTGATTTTAGTAATTGTACAGAATGTCTAGACAGTGGAAAAGAAAGACTGAAAGAGGTGTGTCTGCCAGTGTTTTAAAAAAAGCATCTGATGAGGTCACAAGGAAGGGCCAGTCAGCCAGGTCAGCTGCGAAGGCGCGTGGGATCTGCTATGTAACACTGAGCAGATACTGCAAATCACTGCAGAAACCGAGTAATTTTGACAAGTCCCGTCCCCCCCACAAAAAAACAAAACATAATAGTTAATAGCACATGTTCCAACTGTTGGTTTGTGATTTGGAAAAGCTACTGTATAGAAAATGTCAAAATGATCGATGCAAACTGTTTTGTAGTGAGAAAACAATTATTGTTTATAGCAGTGCTTCTGAAAATATCTATCTTACTTATTAAGTATGACTTGTTAACAAATATTTTCATCAAAACAATTCTGTTGCAAAAAATTTTTTCAAAACAAAGGCGTCCCATGTATATTTTTTCATAAATACTCACTTCAGACAGCTCGAGCCCCGGTCCACACTGATGGCACGTGCGGCATTCACCGTTGTAGAAATACTGGTTTTCTAAGCAATGCATGGCAGTAAACAAATACCTGAAGAAAACAAACATGTGTGGAGCTTAAAATGATGTGTACTGTATTACCCGATATAAAGTGTTTAGGGTCAAATTTAGCACATTTTAACTAGCATCAAGATAAATGTGAAATATAAATAAATTCATTCCACACATATTTGGATATAGTTTTATATGCACAGTTTTATAATCTGTGCCGCACAAAATGATTTGACTCAGAAGGGACAAACGGGACAATATTTAGACAGAACAATATAGCCTAGAGAAAAATATCTTTTTTTATAATAAAACACTTCAATAACTAAATACTACATTATCTTGCATTACGATACAATCGCTAATAATCTAAAAATGAAGTACAACTATATTTAACTGCCAATTTTGCTTTATTGAACACCAGTACGATTACATACGACTTTACGCTTGTTAGAAATCTGAACGGTACACGGCAATGCAATTTCGCTACAACGCCACGTAAGTACATACTAGTAATTTCCTGTCACTCTACCGTAGACTGGCACCATAACGTTCTGAAACGATGCAAAGTATTGTACCTTTGTCCATAAAATGTCGGTAAACTTGCAAAATTACACTCTCCTGTTTACTGAAGACGCGCCGTAGTGAGATCCGTGCAGCGGCCGTTTCTCTGCAACCTCCCGCACATGTCCTGACATGCCTCCTCTTTCAATACGCGGCTTGAGCGCATCTCAATAACACAATAATTGACCGTCGATAACACGGGAAACATCAAATAAATTAAATAAGATTTTACTAGCAAGACTGGAAAGAGAGTTTGTTGCATTATATTTTTATGATGATGTTGTGGATGATGATGTTGATTATTATTATTATTATTATTATTATTATTATTATTATTATTATTATTATTATTATTATTATTATTATATGTATTTAGTTCTTCTAAGAATTGGTTCTATAAATTGTTACTATAGAGGTACATAAATAAATACTATAAAGGTTATCTATTAAACAGTAGATGTTGTAATATTGAGCAACAATACTGAATACGGCTACTAAACTTTAATCAGGAATTACCCGAAAGGAGGCACTGCAGTCACAAGTATATATAATTATATAATTAGAAACAATCCTGCCTTTCTACCGACTAGGCATTTTTTACTTGCAAAACAAGTAGCCTAACAGAAACAAACTAAAATACATTTGCGAATGATTGATATGGAAGATTTATTTTGTCCATTAATGTGTTTTATTAAATATTTGCAATACTGTTACGTCAATGAAACTAATATTTACCATTTTTTTTACAAAGATCTCTAAAAACTACTATTTTATGTTAAATGTGGGGGGGGGGGGGGGGACGAATAATTATGAAATGTGAGGGGGACACGTACCCCTCAGATTTAATGGCGGCGACGTCCATGCATAATCAACATCTTCAAAGCATATAACCATTTTTTTATCTGTGTAATAATTAGTCAAGAAAACCATTCATGTTTACACTCATAAATAATAATGGAGGCGATTGAAGATGAAATGTTGAATTCTGCTACCCAATGTCGAAAAAAAAGTTTTGTTAGGGCTTTTTTTAAAGTAAATTTAGGTTGTATCAGGTGCCTGTGGATTCATGTCATGATTGTCCAGTACTGAATTGGTTAATAGACCTTTTATCCTAATCTCTCTCTAGTTACAGTACTAACAGTACAGTACAGTTCTACTGCTATATTAGTGTTAATTATTACTAATCATCGTTTTCCAATATGACTGCATAAAATATATGAAAAGGAGTACAGTAATTCTAAAAAAGTACGGAAAAATGTGATTTATAAAGTTGTACAAATAACTAAATGATTAAATGTATCCAGATTTTCATTAACACAAACACTAAATGCTGTTGCTCAGTAAACTCACTGCTGGAATAAAGAAATATCGATCACTTCAGCCTTGAACTAGATAAGTGTTTGGAAAATCATACAGTAATTGTATTTTTGTTGGACATATAGACAACAGAAGTATTCCAGTGTCTGTGTGCTCCACATTAGAAGTTTAATGATAGTGGTGGCAGTGGTGTTGGACTGTAGATTGCCTTCATCTTCCCTTGCTGTCCTGTGTCAGCTTATTACTTTATTAAAATCCATCTCTCTGTGGGTTGGGCCAGTCCACCCCCCACCAACCTTGTGCATTCTCTGTACTAACACCTCACCACAATATGTTTTTATTTAACCTTCCACATTAGATTGTTTTTCAAACCAAAAACTAAATAAACTGATTTAGCTTAACACATAACAAATGAACTGGTATAAGTTAGGTGTTCAGTGTTGGTTTGGCCACCATTATGTTAATCCTAAGCACTGCAGATGCACCCATTCTCATCGGTTCCACATTTGTTTATAAAGTTCTTCTTTCATGAAAACCGCTCCCAGTTTCCTTGTGTTAAATTGACCTTACCCTGAACCAGCTCAGTATAAGCCTGAAAAGAGAAACAAAATATCTGTGCCTGGTTTCCAAATCCCTCCCTCTTTGTTTGGAACTAACAACAGCAACCCTGCAAAAAGACTGTATTCTTTCAATCTCAGGACAGAGCCACTGAACACGGGCTGGTCACCTCCATACTCTCCCCAGTCCTTGGCTCTGCTGTCCTACGTATTCAGGTCCTGAAAATGGGGCCTGACGACAATGCAGAAGTATTATAACAAGAGGAAAAGGTTGCTGCATGTAGGTGCCTGAGCGCAGAAAAGACAATCTGGCTGCTGTACTTTATGTGTGGAAAAGTGCAGATAATTATATGCATATGTGAAAACATTTACATTTACTGACATTTTGATTGGTTGAGTTCCAGTATTACCTGCACTTCTTGGGGTAATCTTAAAGATCTTCATCAGACCACGATGGCTCCAAATATTAACAGACAGTTTACATTAGCTACAAACTTGCTGAGATTGCTATGCCCATTGGGCTCACCTCAACTGATAGAGAACCTCATTACAACATTTCAAATAGCTAAATTATTAGTAACGATAACAGCATATCATGTATGAGTATTAGAATAGAATAGAATGTTTTTTATTGTCATTGCACAGATGTGCAACAAAATGTAGCGTGACCCCTAAATAGTACATATACTGTAGTATATTAAAAAGACAGAATCTGTAGATGCATATTAAGCTACACACACATAAGATTAATATGAACCAATGTTTTATATATTGTGTGACCAAATATATTGCACTTTTGTCCCATTGATACCATGGGTGTCAGTGAAAGACCTGAGATCAGTACCTTGCACTTAGATGCAGTGAACAGTTATTTAACAGGGCTCACGTCTATGATAGTGCTTGAGTAGAAGCTTCTCAGTCGTCTGGAAGCTTGCGTCGTAATAGAGGGCAGAGGTGACGGCCTGGGTGAGGTCAGTCCCGGATGATTTTCTTGACGTCAAGTGAAGGTAACTGGGTGTGGATAATTTTTTTGCTGATTTGATGATTGTCTGAAATACTGAGCTTGCTGCATAGGTTTGGCCAAGAGCAGTGGGACAGATTTTAACTGGCATCATCTGCTCCTTGTAGTTTAGAATCGCTGCCATGTGGTTCTTGTTGCCTGTGCTGTGCTCCACATGATATCATGATGCAAAGCAATGGGAGGCCCACATGACCAAGTCTGCACACCATTCTTATAACACCCATTACTATTCCTGATGACTATTCCAGTACAGGTCTACTCCTTCTTTTTTCAGTCTGGAGCAGGTTTCATATCCTAATTCTCACAAATATTGTGTAGCCCAAAAAAATTTGGACACTGAAACATTTTTTTTGTTTTGTTTTGTATTTCCACTCCTGTGGACTGTTTTTGAGATTAAACTATTAAGTGCCAATGTTCATCTTTAATTTGAAGGGATTGATGTTCCTACTGGGTGAACAGTATAGGAACTGCATGACTTTTTAACAGTCCACTACTTTTAGACGACCAAATTGTTTGGATGATTGGCTGCTTAAATCCTTCTTGCGCAGCTGTCTTTGTTTCAGATCTACCTTAAGCATACAAAAGCAATGGAGTCTGGCTGCAGAGCCACTTGAAGGCACGTCTGCTTGTGTTTATTAAATCTGGCAGATCTTTTGCTATCTGCTACGTTGTAATCGATAATGCGTACTATTTAATAAGTGATTTTTACAGGTCTTACCAGTGCTTGGCTGGTATTAGCTAGAGTAATACCGTATATAAATTGTAGACTAGGGTTTGGGTCGGACGACGGGTAAGAGAGCAGTGGGAAAAATATGCGGCGAGGCTGCCGCGGCAAAACTTCTTGCCGGTTAATTTAACTGCCGCTAAATGGCAGGAGGACAGATTGCGCATCATTTGGCGTGTCGGGGAGCTGCAGTCAATTTGCGGGAGACCCCCCTAATCCACGAGAAGTGGGGTGTTTGATTAACGTTGTAACATTAAGGAATGGTTGTTTAAAGGAGGGTATCTCTTTCTATGTAGGTCCTGCTACTGCTGTATAATATATCTGTTTGACTTGCATTTTTCTGTCACGATGCTAAATATTAATGGAAAGGGTGAAGATAAACACACGCTACTACGATGTCTAGACACTAAAATACAAATGTATCAAATACCCAACTGGACATTATAACAATTATTGTGATATGAGATAGATAAGTGCACTGAAACGATCAATAATGACACACCTCATAACCCCTTTTTCTTAAGATTAGTTTTAATACATCTGTCATCAAGTCATTTCTGAGATTCTGCAGCTTGGGTGACAGCTTACCATCATCCAGACCGAGTAAGACTTTCTGAATGAACCCCAAAGTGCTGGTCAACCCCCTGGGGTAGCTGAGGTGTAGTGCATTGATCAGTCCAAACATTACCAGGAATGCATCAGAAAGTCTGGGGAGTCTGGCCACAATGGCATTTTCAATGACAACAGAGATTTTTACAGGATGGTAGTGAACTGGATTTGTGTCATTGTCACTGATGACTGCAAGAAGGGCTACAGCAACATCTTCAATGTCTGGCTCATTAGACGCATCCTGAAAGAATGAAGGGAGATACTGGTCACAAACTAACGAATGGTGTCAACAAACCTGAGAATTCAATTTTTTTGTACAGCAATTTGCATTGTATTATTTTTGTGGCAATAATGTTGCACTCCAACTCAGAGTTAAAGTATTCTTGTAAATTGTTCATGTTTAGGAGTATATTTTGACAGTTTCTTTGTGAGAAGTGATCTCATTAATGAAATGTGAGCAGAATATAATGGCTTCGATTTAAACCTGAACTGACAAAGTAACAGTGGCTGATCCTGCACTACTGCAACATGTGGCCCAGGACACACTAAAGGGAAAGAGAATGAACACAGATTGTAGTATTGCACCGATGTGTTGGCAGGAAGTGATGAATGTTTTCCACAACATAAAAAAATCGCTGTTTGTTAATTTACAATTGTTTCATGAATGAGACCCAAAATCTGGATTCTATACGCTTGCGTCAGATTAGCTACCAGTGAAAGTAAGTACCTGAAGAGTACTTAAGCTCATGAATGAATACAGGAAAATAATTCAATAAACTTCTGTGCTGCCTTGAACATAACTAACCCGGCTGATTTGAAGCAGGGTTAAAAAAAGACAGATCCAGTCATACAAACTAAATGTAGAATGAACAAGGGTGCAAATGCATGTTTGAAGGATATATTTCAACAAACTGTTCATGAG